TCTCCAAGGTCCATTGGTACTCTGTCCAGTTTTTTCTTTTCGAAGGAAAAACTGGACAGAGTACCAATGGACCTTGGAGACGTAGTGTCGTTAAGAACGGGTTCTTAATCGTTCACGAGCATGCAGTTTCGTAGAATTCCGTGGACGATGTGTCTCTCTCGCTGCGATTTAAGGTCCTTTGGCCTTGTGCCCGTAAACCAGCGAGGATCCTCGCCTCTCCTTCTTCGTTAGCTCGCGACGAAACCCGGGCTACTTTATCTTCCGGCTGCGCGCCGGACTTTGTCGGCCTCGAGACGTAATTTAGCGTGACGTAAAAAGGTCCGGCGGATAGAGAGTATGATATCGTTGGCGGTGCTCGCGAAATTGTGGCGAAATTGTGGAGGTGTTCGGCGCCGGAAGAAGGGTCTTAGGGTGCCCAAGTCCTCTCCGAGTAAAACTCTCAAAGATAATATTGCGTTCGTTGTTGGAAATTGGACAATGATCAATTGGAATTTCGTCGCGTGCACAATAACAGAAGTTCTCTCTTCATATTTCTGTTGTTGTATCTGCACGATTGACAAGACTGCAACTGTACAATTGTACAACGTGTTAAACTTCTCTTTGGTCAACTTATCGTTCTGGTTTCTCAGTTTTGCGATTGCGGATAAACACTACGGACAATTTTGCAACAGCTATATATGAAAAGTAGTTCACTTTTGTTTAAAGATGTTTCACTATGTGTTTAGAGAGAGAGAGAGAGAGAGCTTATTACCGAGACCTTTCCTGCATCCAATAGTGCAATTATATTAACGGATAAACGGACCAGAATGTAGCTAATCTATCGACGCACGCAGTACGTCAAATCGGGGACGACTACGGATCCTTGATCTAGCGTTTGCCGAGGGACGTAAAGGATGGATTAGTGGATTATTGATGTTTGGCTCGACTGATTCGATAGCCGTGGTTCCATTGTAACAATTGAAATCGAGTCATACGATGTATGCTTGCACGAGAATTAATCCCCTCACTCGAAACTTGCTCTCGACTCCCCATTTCCTACTACTTTCAAAATGAACCATCCTCCTCGCACGATCTCGACATCCTTCGCTGAACGTGTCTCAGTTTCTAAGAGGAGAGCAGCTTTTCATTTCAAAGACTTTTCTCGTGCGTCGAGGAACAACTCGGCGAATTTGCGAATTTTCGTGAGAGAACTGCAAAGATTTCGAGAAGCTGAGAAAGAGAGAGAGGAGGAAGTTAGCGGGAAGCCGACTGGATCGCGAGGCGTTGAGAATAATGGCGCGCCTCAACGGTCACGGTTTTTCTTATCCTAATACCGCGCCGCGCCGTCGAAACGTTCAGGGTCTGAAACTTCCTTGACTTTATGGGCAGAGCCGGTGAAAGAGGAGCCGGAGCTCGCGGCGCTTTAAAAGTAGAACTCCGTAGCCAGTTCGTCGAGTAATGGATCGTAGCCACGTTTGTAAAACATTGTTGCGTGCTTCAGCGACGTATTGAGGCAGCAATCGCGTCCTTTCGCCATTTCCTCACGTCGCTTATTCAATTTCTGCTCGCCTCCGCTGTAAAGGAATTTCCTCTCGCATTCAGCTTTTGACGCTGAAAATGATCGCAAACAACAAACGATGCGCGCGCGTACGTTTCCATCGAGTCGATAATGACCGGTCTGAGATGAAAGGTTCCGTTACGTTGCTTTGTCACGCGAATATGTATAATCAGTCGTGGAATTCTACGTATAGTTGCTATATTTGAAAAATTTATATTTTGTATCAGAGACGATTTACGCTTGTTTACTAAGAAACATAAATCAAAAGTGATTGAATGTAATTATTTTACTTGTTTGTTAGGAAACGTGACTTGAAATATTATATATAAAAGTGTGGGAATGATTATTATACGTAAT